GGTAGGATCTAAAAATGCAGTTAATATAACAACATATCTAATCCCAACAGGTCTTTGTATAGTTTAGCTGCTTGGACATACAGTATAGCCAAGGACGATTTTATATTCTATTACACTCTGACACTAAAAAAACAATGTTTTTAAGTAATTAGGAAAAAATAAATGAATGTAGCTTACCCCAATAGCAAATCGAACAATCTTTTTCTCATTAGCTGCCTGTATTGCACTTTTTAAGTTATAGCGATCCTGAGATAGTCCATCTGTGATTACAATCAAAATCTTTTTCACATTTGCCCTGGAACCTTGTAATGGTGAGAAGACATCATTCCTGTTAATAAATAAATAAATATATAAATAAATAAATAAATAAATAAATAAATAAATAAATAAATAAATAAATAAATAAATAAATAAATAAATAAGGACTGGCTTATTTCCATCCAAAATGAATCAACCCTTTATTTTAACATTGGCATTGTCTGTGATTTTGAACTTATATGTACTTTTAAGTAATGCACGTTAGCTCTGTTTAAAAGAACAACAGGAAAAACTACATGTTTCCAACACACAAAACATAATTTTTATTAGGTATGATAATTCTCAATAAGAACATATCAAACATTATATCCTTGCTAATTTATTCTCAAACAATAGCCTCTGTTTTTAATTTTTCCTCTTCAAAGTCAAAGGCAGTTTCAGGTTAACATTCTGTACAATTTAATTTGTAATATATAACTGTAGTTTAGCACTGCTGTAACTCAGTTTCTTTCAATAATAACTTCTAAAATAGTTTTCTCACAGATGAGACATAGGATGTTATATGTATGTATAATCTGACAATGGTGAACAATTACAAATCTTATGGATTACATTTAGATATTCAGGAACCTGCACATGCTGTTTTATTGACAGTTATCTCACTAGATTTTTGGTAGATTTAGAAATCCAGATTTTTTTTGTTTTGTTGTTTTTTTCAGTTTAAAAAAACTCTCATGCTTAAACTACACAGATTTAATCTTCTTTTACATTTGTATTTTTTTATATTGTTGTATATAATAATTTGGTTCTATCAGAACTGTTCTGATTTTTTGTATCGTTTAACCTGCAATCAACAAGACAAATGAGGTATAAATACAAAGGTAGAAGTAAAGTTGCTTTTGTTTAATATATTGAATAATCGGACACCAAAAGGGTGGTACTTACACAACATCATGGATGGCTTTAGCTGTTTTCGTTCCACCTCCATTTTGACGGATCTTGTCAATTTCAAATTCCCAGTTATATAATGGAAAAGTGTTGAAGTAGTAATGCGGAAATGTATCCCAGGAAAACTGGGTAATGGAAAACTGTAAACACAGACAAAAGCTATAACGTCAAAATTCCTTTAAATAAGTAAAAGGAAAAACAAATTAAAATTAAAAACTCAATAAAAAATAAAAAATTATATTAAAAAAAAGGATTAATGTTTTTTAAAAATCAAAATAATGATCAAAGCTTTATTCACAGTTTTTATATTAGGACCCTTTTTAGAGCAGTCACATCTTTGGATGTTCAAAAGCCTAATAGTAATGCCCAACAGCACCAACTTTTAATAAAAGAACAAACTAAATAGTCTCTCTGAGA